CGATAGGCGTCCTGACCCACGACCCACGACCCACCACCATCGCCCTCCCTCGCCCGGGACAAGATGATCGTAGCTCTGACTTTTATGCATTTGATCAACCCACATTCCACAAGCGGAGAATTTCATCAAAGGGGCCCATTTTGTTTTGTACTAGAGGGCAGTATGGTGGCAATGTGCGCTCCTCCTGTACCCAGCCCTCAAGGCTAGGCATACTGCCGACGTTTGGAAATGTGGTGCAACAACGCCGCTGCTGCGCGATCCAAGCTGCCAGACACCAGGCACGAGCCCGAGTAATGACAGCACCCAGTGGCGCCCTGGTGCCGATGGTGTATAGGTGCTGGAACACCGGCCAAATAAGATTCATCTGTTCACTATATGTATGAGGCGCATATAGCGCCATGTGGTAGCGTATCCATCACAACCGAGTACTTAGCGGAGCCCGCTGAACCTGGCACGAACGCTACCGGATCGACCACGACCTCGTTTCCTGACTGTGACAGCACGACATGGGAGCAGGACAAACACGGGGCCCATGGCGGCTCTGCTGCCGTCGGTCGAGCGCGCTGCAGCGGACGTGTCGGTGTCGTGGGCCTTGGGGGGAGGATTGGTTTTTCTGCTCGAGAGCGGCCCCAAACCGGTCGTCTCACAGGCGCAGGAACAGGGTGCGGGCGCATAGGCAGCGCGTCGGTGGTGATGATGCTGGGCACGCAATTTGCTGGCAACGGGTCGCTCAGAGAAATAGCGGACCCCGGTGTGGCTTGCACTAGCGCGCTTACCAGGATATCGTCGCCCATGGTCCCGCACAGATGAAAGCCCACCCATCCTGGGCGCATCCAGTAACCCTAACCCACAGAGAAAGAGCGTTGGACCGCCCTGCCCCTTCCTTCTTCGCTCGTCTGCTGCTTCCTCACTTGCTTCTCCTCCACGAGGCTGCATCCTACTCCAGCCTTTTGCCTCTCCCTCTCTCTCTCCCTCCCTCCTGCCCGAAGCCCTCACTGCGCCATCACGCCAGCTCTGGTGCATCGCATACCACTTGCCTGATCCAGGTCGGGGTCCACATCATCCGTGTTCCTCTGCGCGCTGCTGTCGTTCTCCGCGCCAGCCTCTCCACGCCTCGACTCGCACCCGCCGGCACGCTTTGCAAGACGCGCGCCCAGCACCCACCAGTGAGCATCCATCATCAACACCATCATTCTCCATCTCACAACTGACCCAGCCAGCCGCCCTGGCGCCATTCATAGCCGCTCTTGACGACACTTGCTCACTATCAACTGCCCTGCCACTGTCGCGGCCCAGGTAGCGCAATCGTCGCATTCTAGGCAGCTCAGTCGCAGCAAGCCATCATGGCCCAGCACCAGCAGCCTTCGCCCACTACGGGCATACCAGCACACCATGTAGCCCAGCATCCTGCGCACGCGCAGGTGAATGGCCACCCACCCCACGCGAACCAGCCAAAGACCTCATCCCAGTACTTGGGTCAATTGACCGAGGCCGTCTGGACACAGATGGGTAAGCAATGTCCCGTCGCGCGCGCTATAGACCTTCATTGACACGCAACAGGCTCTCTATCCGAGCAAATGCAGGACTACGACGGCGCCATGCAATGTTACGAACAGGCCTTGAAGTTCAACCAATGGTCTGTACCGGCTATGCAAGGCATTGCCTGCATCCTGCGCACCAAGGATGCTTTTCCAGCCGCTGTAGAGTACCTGCGCACCATTCTGAAAGTTGACCCCACAAACGGTGACGTCTGGGGCAGTCTTGGTAAGAACATCATCTCGTGGCTTTCCAAGACCATGGCTAACTCTACCAGGCCACTGCTATCTGATGATGGATGACCTGCAGCAGGCCTACTCGGCCTACCAACAAGCCTTGTACCACCTCTCTGATCCCAAGGTATGTTTTCTCTGACTTGCAGACAATGCAGCCAACTAACCTCTACCAGGAGCCTAAACTGTGGTATGGCATTGGCATCCTCTATGACCGCTATGGATCTTTGGAGCATGCCGAGGAAGCTTTCTCACAAGTCATGCGTATGGAGCCTACCTTTGAGAAGGCCAACGAGATCTACTTCCGTCTGGGTATAATTTACAAGCAGCAGCAAAAGTTCAACCAGAGCTTGGACGTAAGTAGCATCGCAACTTGCGACGCGCGAAAACATTCTAACTCCTCATAGTGCTTCAAATATATCGTCACCAACCCTCCTCGCCCACTCACTGAGGAGGACATTTGGTTCCAGATTGGACACGTCTATGAACAACAGAAGGAGGTTCGTATCATCAAAGTTTAAAAGCTTTCAACAGCTAACACATGAGCTAGTTCGAAGCTGCAAAGGGTGCTTACCGCCGGGTCCTCGAGCGCGATCCCAACCACGCGAAGGTGCTTCAACAACTTGGATGGCTTCATCACCAACAGAGCACAAACTACGCGAGCCAGGAACAAGCCATTGAATACCTTGAGAAGTCGGTCGCTTCTGGTAAGTCTTGTAACCATGCTTGATCATGCGCCAGCCGCTAATCTCTCACTCTAGATCAAACGGATGCACAGAGTTGGTACTTGCTCGGTCGTTGTTACATGTCTCAACAAAAGTACCCCAAGGCGTACGAGGCTTATCAGCAAGCTGTATACCGTGACGGCCGAAACCCAACCTTCTGGTGCAGCATTGGTGTACTGTACTACCAGATCAACCAGTACCGCGATGCGCTCGATGCCTACTCTCGCGCAATCCGATTGAACCCCAACATTTCGGAAGTCTGGTACGACCTGGGAACACTGGTAAGTAGTCCATTGCTCCTATGCTGAAAATGCATCACTAACAATGCCGCAGTATGAGTCTTGCAACAACCAGACAGCCGATGCTCTCGACGCATACCAGCGCGCGGCCGATCTCGACCCATCCAACGTACACATCAAGGCTCGCCTTCAGCTTCTTCAGAATGGACAGACATCTGCCGGGGCCCCAAATCAAGGCAATGCTCCAATACCTCAGGATGTACACCCCCAGGCTTATCAGCCTGCGTCAGTTCATGGTCCAGCTGCTCCTCAATGGGGTGCTCCTCAACCACAGCAGCCTCCTCAAGGCCCTGCTCCTCCTGCTCTGGCAGCTGGCTGGGACCGCCCTCTTGCTCAGATTCGCGATCCGGGTCTACCGCCTCAGCAATTGAACCCATATGAGCAGCGCGAGGGCATTCGTCCTCCTACCCAGCATGCTCCTCAGAGGCCTGCTAGCCCGAGACAGGAAGCGCCTAGGCCCTATGCAGAGCCCCCGCGCCCTCCCACGAGCGGTCCTGGTCCTCAGGGCCCTGCCGGCCCTCCACCTCCTGTCCCAGGACCGATGCGTCGTGGCATGTCTCCATCTCCAAAGACGCACCATGTTGCTCCTAGTCCCTACCACCCTCAGCCACCGCAGCTCACCCCTCAAGCAGCTCATGCGCAACCACAGCCGCCTGTGCACCAGCAGCCGCCACAACAGCCGCCCCAGCCTACCCGTATCTCGAATCCCAACTACGGGCCTCACGCTGGCAGTGTGCCTCCCCCACCTCCCCCACCACCTACTGGTCTTGGTGGTCCGCCAAGCCAAGGGTCTACACAGAGTGCCGTTCCTCCATACAGTGCCCGTCCTAGCAGCCCTGCCCCCGAAGTGCGCCCTATCGTGGAGAATCGAACAGCATCCCCACGCAATGGTTACCAGGGCCCTTACCAGCATCACCCTGATCCTTCTACTGGCGGTGGTATTGCTAGTGGTGCTCCTCCACCAGCATCGGCTCAAGCTGCTGCTGAGCAAGCGGCCCGCGATCGTGATGAGCGCCCTCCTACTGCGCCGCCAAAGAGACACCGCGAATGGGAGGAGAATGACCACATTAGCGCCAAGCCACCTACGAATGATGAAAAGCGCCAAAAGATTGAAGAGCCTCACAGCCGTCGGCCTACACCCCCACACCGCATGTCGTCGCCTCAAGTGCCACGACAGAGCCCCCAGGATGGCCCTGACCCCAGACGGTTCAATGATGGCTACCATCCATCCGAGGCTGCTCACCACCCACCTTCGCTCCCACCGATGGCTACTGCGCGACCACTGTCCCGCATGTCTGAGACATCGAAGCCAGAGCGTCCTGAGCACCACGAACCGGCTGCTCGGCACATGGATGTGGATGAGAACTATGATGATGAAGGTGATGACTCGAAGCCAAATGCGGCGAAATCTGAGCGGAGCAGCCCACGCACTGCGCCTACCAATGGCGTGACTCATGCTCTTGCCACTGAGCAAAAGCCATAAGTATGATTGCAGAGGGCAGGGCTTGGGCCACGTCGAGCGTTTCTATCATGTCTTCTTTTTCTTCTGCACCCCTACACTGTTTGTTTTGTGAGATTTGCTCAGATGACTTCGGTTTTCTTTTTTCTGGGTTGGAGTTTTTGTGACGAAAGGGTCCGGCTGTGGATTTGTAGTTGGATGGAGGTCAAGGTAGAATGTGGGGGGCGTGATAACGCGCTCTCCTGCACGGCGATGATACCCTGCGCATTATAGTGTAACCGCCTCTGCGGGTGTTGTATGTATTTTCTAATTAGCCAAGAATGTTAAAGCAGTCAGTATGGAATTCTGAGTGTGCTAGCGTGATGAGAGTAAAAGCATCAGTTTGTGTGCACTTGGAATGTCTACTTGGTAAGGTACATGGAGGGTGAGAGTGGGGTTGTGCCTGGCCGGCTTTGGAGGGCCACGCGCCATGGGCATTTGCGTCATCGCACGGCTAGGCCATTGCTCTAGCACCATGGGCAAACTGGGACAGCGTTTGTTGAGCACATTACGAGCATCTCACCACTGTTCTTGTCGCACGGCCTTGCAACGCGAAACTGGGCAAAAGATTGATTGTAATTTGGGCAGTACAAGAACGAGGAGAGAGCGACTCCATCCACGGCTATTCGACCAGCTTGTTCAGCGACCAAAGACGACATTCCCACCCTCAGGATTGTGCGGGGTCATCGGTCAGACGCACATACGAACCATGTCTTCCGACGCCGACTACTCGGCGTTTCTCGACAAGGCGAACCAAGACACGGGGTCAGGGGACGTGAAAGAAGCATCGCAGAAGAGCTATGGGACCAAGAGCGTCAACACGGCAGTTCCAAGCGGACTCAAGGAAGTAAAGGAGTACTACATCAGTGAATCTGACGAGCCGTTTGAGCCCGTGGCACTCGAGTTTGAGGGCAGTAGCGTGTCTAGTGGTAAGGGTTGCCCTTCTTTTGCTATTTTCCAACTTTTCATGCTATGAGGAGCAGACGGAGTTGCTAACGCTGGGCATAGAGGATCTCGCGAAGCTCCTTGGAGGCAACAAAGTAGAGGAAGTCAAGGGCACTGGGTTTGAGTCACAATACAAGGGCGTGATTGACGCGGTGAAGCTGGCGACCAACGGTACAGTCAAGGTGTTCCGTGTTGAGCTGGAAGGCACGCGGGCAGAGTACTACGTTGTAGGTGTGGACGAGAAAGGAGGCAGGATTGTAGGGCTTAAAGCACTGGCTATCGAGTCGTAGTGGGGGGGGGGGGCGGTAGGGACCGGGCATATACTTAGCACAAAGCGAACGTGATGGGCAAGCCAGCAAAGGCGCGAGGGTCATTGCGCGAATAAAGCCGATTGAAACGTCGTAGTGGCTGGGATGGCGAGGTGGATATGCAGCGGTAGGGATGCTAGGTAGTGGAGCATACCGTTCACAGAGGCGACGATCAAGATGGTGTTTTATTGGAAAAACTTGTGTACATGACGTGTGT